GTTATCCGCAAAAAACTTTCACGGGCCCCTACATAGGAACCACACACACCCGGGGGCTGGTTTTGGAGCTCATTAATACTTACTTGGATGGGGAACATCTCCTCAAAATTTCAATCTTCTAGCTTCTCAGGTTCCTGAGTTAGCAACTTGTCCGAGAAAGATTTTAGCGGACCCGTACGTGGGTTCTTGGCATCAATAGTTTGAAGCTAACATCGCTGCTTCATAATACGGTGGCGATGGGCAGCAAAGCTGCTTCGAGTTCAGAATTTTTTAGACCGAAACTTCTTATCTCACTCTTGCCTTCTCTCATACTGTTCTCTCATGCTGCAGTCTATCGCACCTTCGCCATTTAGGCTTCCAAGGTCAACTTGGTTGCTGTAAAAGAACTCCAGTCCTTTCAACCCGTAGGACAGTTCCCGAAAGTGTGACTGTAATGTTGTAAAGGCCTGTGGATGTGATAGTCAGAAAATGAGCGAACTGTTCGTATAGGCGGCTTCGAAATATATTGGATCGAGCATCCCGTTCCGAAATGAATTAGGATTATTCGAAATCTGGGAAGCGAGACTCATTATCATCAGTAGGCTGACCAGATAATGCAACTTTGATTATATCAACCACAAATGGTTGCTATTGATACCGAAACGTTCCAATTTTTGCTTTTAATTATTACTTTTTGTTGCAGCCTTTTTCATAACCATAAAATGTTCAAACTTTTTGCTCTGGTTAAAATTCCCGAGGACGCCTTTTTTCATAGAGGGCAATTACGGAAGAGTCTTGGCACTTTCGGGTCTTGACTTTTGTTAGATTATAATGTATTTTAGGCAAATTATCCAAACTTCCAAAGACTGCTTCGAGGCATCGTTCATATCCGAGCCTGGCATATTCAGACCATTGAATTTCTGAATGTTGATTTCAAAATGGCCGACATTCCTGATGTTGAACGTACGCTTGAAGTAAGTGTCATAAATTTTTACCAGTGAGTGCCGAGAGTGCCAAATTCAAAAGGTGCCGAGTTTTCCAGGCAAAATCGAACCCAAAAGCGTTAAATTTGCTGTTTTGCGCATTAAGTCCTGTTTGTTTATTGGGGTCGTAAACCAGTTGAAAAACCTTGAAATGCGTCGATAAGGAAGAAAACTTTTATAGAAATGACAAATTAAGGAACCAGAAAGGCTAAAAGCTGAAATTTTAGGGCAGTGTTCTCTGTTCGAGTACAACTTAAATATTTCCAATTCAGCCTCAGTGCATGCATGCTTCTCGCGTACGGGCACTTAAAAGTCTTGACAAGAAAATTGCACACTGAACAACTAGGTCATTTTCAAAGAACGACCGTTAAATGGAAATTGTTCATTTATCCACCCATCCAGAATGCTGAAGGCGTTTTCGTTCATGACGAAATGGTCTGCTAATAGGTTCTGTGCAAACAGCACTCTCTTCTGCAAAGGCATAAGCTGAAAAAGTTAGCGGTGACACAGTGTCATGGAATGGGAGCATGGTAGCTGTTAGCAAGTTGCAGCACATCTCCAATAAAGTTTCCTGTCCCGGTCTGATATACGCCACTAGGAAGAGTTTGACTGTCAGTGTCACTTGAAAATGCATTTAAACTAATGTTATGAATTTTTTTTTTCAGAAACTAGAAGTGAAGTTGGTACTTCTACGGAATTGTACGTACGCCTCGGTTACGAAACCCACACATGCATATCAAGTTTTAATGGCACTTAATCGAAAAAAGAAATGTATTGTATGCGAATATGGGGACGACAGGTATGAATTTTTTTTGGTTTCCGTCTTCTTTGTGCAGCTTGCATGGTACCAGAGATCCAGAAGTTTATTTTGTATGGCTGCAACTGCATTTCTTGAGTTACCGAATGCGTTTTTTTCTTCAACAAAGTCAGCTCTTTGACGAATAGATTATACGTTTGACTCAAAATTTAATTTACTGTTTAATTTAGCGTTGTACAAAATTAAACAACAGTGAGTTAAATTTTGAAATCCGTAGCGAGCTGGACGAATCAATCCCACTTTTTGCACCTTCTAGGCGGTTTCATTGGATTTTAAGGACAGTCTTTCCTGGAGGGACCTTCTGTCTCCCAAAAAGTCCTGGTTTTTTTTGCTTCATCTTACCAGATGGATAATTCAGCCTGTTACTCTGACCCTAAACGCTCTTGCCGTACCCAGAATCGCGTGATGATTGCTTTTTTATGTTTCTTCTTCGCACTGACAGGTCAGCACTCGAAATTTAAGAAATCCCAAAATTTAATGCCGCACCATCAACGACCAAGCTTCTTCATGACGCCTAGGATGTACTGTGGTTCGACATTCCTTGAAGTATCAAAATTAGGGATGCAGTGGATTCAAACAGATTTACCGGTGGACATACTGAAGTGCAGTCTGTGTTTCATCTCGTAGCTGTAAACACAGAGTGGAAAGTGCGTTAGGAGGTGGGCACAGTCCTTTTCATGCCCGTTCTTGCATTTCCTACATTAGCTAAACCATCTCAATGTTTAGGCCAACTGGATGCTCAGTTTGCTGGATTTTAGAAATGTACTGCTGCTTTTTTCCCGAGCAATTTTGGCGAGGAGCGTGTGGTACTCGGCAAATACAAAAAAAGGATCTCTTTTTTTTT